GTATTGACTTAACGAATGTATAATAAAACTTTAAAATTATAAATTACAAATCTATTGTATTAAAACAACTTTAAATATTAAAAGTATTAAAAGTAATTCATTTATAAGTGAAAATTAACAAGGTGTCGCGGGTCTCTTTCGGACTCTGCGTGATTACATATTAAGTTAATGGGCGGATGGCTCTGTGCCACTCTGGAGGACCCGGGATCGATTGCGTGGAAATTATTACTGGATAGTCCATGAAAATTCCTTGGGATTTATTACCTGACTAGAATCCAGGCAAGTAATAAATCACAGAAAATTTTCATGGACCATCCGTCTCGGATATTTAGGGCCCGTACCTCACTACCCGGCGGCGCCAATGTGAACCTAGGAGAGTCAACGATAGGCCTAGCAAATAAAAGGCCTTAGTAACCGTGGGGTGAAAATGTTTAAAAATATACTATTTCATTTTATTTTGAAATTATAACAATTTCGAATTAAAGTGTGTAATAAACCAAAAGTAACATTCGTAACTCTTAAATAATATGTTTTTATAACACCCTTCAATACAATTTAAGTTGTGAAAAGACAAATTTTATTACGTAAAATTAAGTCTGCCATGTAAAATATTTTTATATTTTAGATTAACAGAAGATAAAGGAAAAATCTTTGTATAACAGAATTGTTTCTGTTCTTGGAATAAAAAAATTCTACGTACAAATATATAGGCCTATATAAATGAATAGTAAACATGTTGAAAAAATTCTGCAAATATCAATTCAAATTAAACAATAAAATTATAGTCTAGTAGTATGGATTGTACAGAAAGGCGCTTCTATATGAAATGGTACAATGACTGGACTGACATAAAAGATAGAAATTTATATAGAAATAAACAAAGAAAATATAGGCCTATATAGCATAACACTGCCGCCAACAAATAAACGTTTATAGAACACTTAAGAAGTTAGAGCAATATTTTTATTAATTTAACACAAAACACAGAAAATTATTTACGAAATGTTAAAAATTTTCTTTGTGTCAAGAATACGGCGAGACTGTAACAATGGGCGCATTGCCTAGTAAAGAGGCTGGCTAGTAATGCAGCTGGATAAGCAACCAATTGCATAAACATTTTCGAATAAAATGTAGCCTACTATGACATTGGTTTGTTTATCCAGGTGTATTAAAGCCGCCTTATCAGGCGACGTTCCCAATATCGAGGTTTAAATTCAATCAGCACTCTAATCAAAACGTTACTCTGATCGAGCTTTTGATCATATCGGATTTTTGATTTTATGGGGATTTTAAACCGAATCTCATCTATCCTGTAAATACATCATCCTAAACTACTAAGTACTTCATTGAATATTAGCCGAATATTATGTATAGTTCCACCATAAAGAGTCAGTATTTCTTCGGGTTATGTGAAATCATCATAATTCAAGCATACTTTGCTACCAACTAAAAGTAAAGAAAGCAATTACATACAATGATATCGGTTTCATTTCCAAACTGGTTTTCAATTTCTGTAAAACCGCGGTTACCAAAAAATTGGTTGATCGGTTTTTACCGAAAACCGCTAACAGGTTGTTGCCAGCACAAATACAAACCCCAGAAAACTAAACTCTATCGTGGAGAAAGTTTTATTAGATTTAATATTCTTAACAATATTTGCTGATGAATTGATATGTTCTGAGGAATTTCATACAGAATTTAATTCTTTACAAATATTATTTCATAATAATAATAATAAGCGTTGTCTGTAATCACTTTTAAAGTAAGTACGACTACTTGCATTGTGTTTGCTCAGGGACAATTACCTATTATTCAAAATACCAAAATATCCGAACGAAAATAACAGTTAAAAGCCATGTATTTGAATGAACATTCCATTTTGCTAATACTTCAACTTCTTTCACAAATAATTTTTAACAATTTTTCTGATGCTGTAAGAAGATATGATTGGTTTCTTAACATTATGTTATAATTTTTTTGGAGATAAAAATACAATATGTATAAAATGAGGTAAGTTAAAAATGCAAATTAAGTCTGGAAATAAGAATTAAAACCTAGAGTAATAAAATTGTTTTTTACGCTCTTTTCACCCTGTGGTCACTAAGAGAGCATTCTTAACAAACCCACTATGCATTCGGCAAGGACCACAATGAGGGATAGAATTAGATATATAGGGGACGGATCATCCACGAAAACTGCTGGAATTATTTGACCCGTCTGGATTCGATCCCGAGTCTCCTAGAGCAGCGGTTTGCCACCCGACCGTCCCTAGAGTTCAATTTATACAATTTATAAAACTATTTCTTGATGAGAGTTTACGTTATTGACACAGTCCTGAAATTTACGCCTTTGCAGCATGTTCAAACAATGCTAGAGAGCCTATCGACTAATTTACTTACTTGTTAGTGGCAAACGCTAGAATCTCTACAATTGATTTGCATGCAATGACCTGTTGCCAATTTAGTTATTTTGTAGCTACATCTAGCAATTTTAATTCTCTATTTAGCTACGGAAAATAGTAATTTATAAATTTCCGACGTAGGCCTTCAGCTATTTTTCATTTTCTAAGACTACAAAAGCAATGTTTTTCATTGTTAGTACAGGTAAGTTATTCAGGTATTTTTCTTTCCTGGCTGTTATACACAATAAAGGGAAGTTTTGGAATTGTGTCAAATTTGACACTCCGAGTTTTTTTTTTTTTTTTTTTTGCAAATTTCCACGTTTTGAGACCCCCTGAACCCAAAAACTGGAAAAAATTTTCATGGCTATGTATTTGTGTATGTGTGCATGTTTTGGCGTCTATTTACCTCAAGATGGTTGTAATGATAAAGTAACGAAATTTGGCATGTGTATAAGGAGCATTTGTGCTATTAAATTTTGGTGTTTAAAGTCGAGGGTCAGGAAGATAAAGGGGTCGTGTATCATATCTCGAGACAGGTCGGACTTAATGAATATTTTATTCGTTATTAACATTTACAACTTTTTATAAAACTTATCTCAACCCTCAAAATTAAGCTCTTTGCCATTTTATAATAATTAAAAATATAAAATGTTTTTCTAATAAAATCTCATAATAGATGGAGCCACACGCAATTTTATTTATTATAATTAATAATATAAGTTGTTTTTTCAATGAAATCTCATAACAGCCAGAAAGTTACGCAACTTGTTATTAGATTTTTTCTTTAAAAATTGGTTATTTTTACTCAATTACAATTGGAAACATTAGGCCATTGACTGTTGCCATGTTGCCAAAGGATAGATAAAAAGGGTTTCAAATTGTTCAATAGCTCAGGACCTTTAAAGACTAATACAGCACTGCGTAGACTGCTGGACATTATGCATCCCTTCTTCCTGATATAAAAATCCAGGTAGAATCCTACAATCTATTTCAGTTTTTCATTGTATACACATTAATACAATGATAAATAAATCCTTCGCTACATTAATACAATGAATTAATATGAACTTGCAATATGACACGTACGATATGTGACGTATGAATTTTAAAATATGGCGGTTGCGTGATCGACATCCTGTTTCATACAACTTTATCAAACTAAAAATTTTGTATAAAAAATATGAACATTTATAATTGTAAACATTATAAAAAAGATTAGGAGAGTGGTGCTTATGAATGACTACTCGTCAAGCAAATTAAGTAAATTACTTTAAAAATAATGAAAAGTTGAGTGTAAATCATCAGTTTGCTACAATTACTATTAAATATACCTTTTGTATATATTGTAGAGCAAATAAAGTTAACATTAAAGTATCTCAGAGATCAATTTTTTTTTGGGAATTTGTTTATTTTTAAGAGACTTCTCACTATATATAAGATTTCCTCAAATGCACATCCTTGCGACCTTTGGGGGTTACTTTCACACAGGAGGGATAAGTTCGAACTCGCTCGTGTAAATGGTTGCTTATGTGTTTAAATGATTGCATGACATCAACTGCTTACACTTTGTGTAAATCGAGCTTAAGTGCAAAAAAAGAGACAACCGCCTCAGGCGACAGAACTTGAAGTGCACCAACGGAGTGATCAAACTTTCGATTTTATACATTATGCAGAAAGTAATTGTTATTTTTTTCGAAAACTGAAAGCAAAAACGGACTATTTACAGACTTAAACGAATGGTTACCGAATTTGAGACTAGTTTTTAAGTAAGAAGGTTATCAGAAAGACGATTCGATGTTTTTGTAATAAAATCTGCAACAGCAATGCTGTTGCTGGACTTTCCCGGCATTGTTTATTTGTTTTCATCCCTAATAATTTTCATCATTATCTTGAATTATTATTCTTCTTTTCCTGAAAATTTCTAGAAACATTTCTTCCAATACACAAACCTGCCTAAAAACTTTTAGAGATTTTAGGCAAAAGCACAGGAATTATTAAGCTTCAAAGTGAGTTTTAAAATAAAAATCGCGCCTCCCACACACTAACAGAAAAACCTATACGTACAGAAAAATCAGATATTTTATTATTATTTCTCGATGTTCCAAGGTCTCCTGAGTCCAAAAACATGTAAAACTCGGAAAATAATACTTACGCTACGACTCTAAGCCCTGAAGATGTACAGTACAGTACATTACCATAACCATTACCAGAACAGCGTGGTTTCTAATTCCGATCTGGTTCGATCTTTTCTTCTAAAATTTTCTAAAATAATTAATTTACATTGAAAAACTTAATTGTAGTTATTAAAATTCTTACGAGATGGCGACTCTGCTTTCCTCTACGCAAAATTTCGCAATTAATTTTCCAGGCTAAAAATTAATATGTAAAAAAGTCTGATAATCGTCAATTATTTAATTACATTTAACTAAATCCATATCTTATAAATTATACCACAGATTCCATTTAATGCAGCGTAAAATCGAGATAAACCTTATATGTAGTCAGTAGCATAAATAGAACCGATATTGGGGAGTCCCAATTAGAACGTGCAAATCTACATGTACCAGTGTGGATGTAAACACTAGCGCTATGGTTGGAGAATAAACTCATATATTGTCACATTCAAATCTTTTTCCTGTACTTATTTAATTTTTTTCTAATTTATTTATAAAGGTAAGGATGCCTGAGAGAAGGTCTCTCGTTCTCTCTTTATTTACAGAACTATACACTCCCATTGTCGTCCGTATCTTTATCTGTCCTTCGTTAATTTCGAAAAAGGAGTTAGATGACCGGCATGACTTAATTGTTATGGGGAGAAGTGTGATGTGCAGGGGTAAAACATTAAAATCGAGACCAGATAACAAAAGCTTTGGGATCAAATAACTATTAAATATACACGAACTTCCGATCTGCGCCGGAAATGACGTAATTTTTTAAAATTAAAAATCGGTTAAAAATTGCAGCTAGGTATTCAAATTCGATCAAATCATTAAATGAATAAATTCGATATAATTTTGTCTTGTCTGCTTGGAAATTCTTGAACGAATTAATTTATATAACCTAACACAAATAGTCCATTATAAAATTAAGCTAAATTTATAAGAAAAGAAAGAAAGAAATCAGAAAATTTATGTTTATAGTCATATAAAACATAAAAAAAAGAAATTCTGAAAGGAAATTGAATCAATACTCTATAAATAACGCAAGTTACAATTAAGCGCAAAATGGTCGATACTGATAAATTTTTCTACATGATAACAATTATTAAATTACTCGACAAATATTTTGTTTTAATTCATAAAAATTATCGTATTTTAGAACTATGACGTACGTTAAAACCTGCATAAACCGGAATTGCACGTTTCCGAATATCTTTTTCCGGTTTGGCAAGTTTCCGTTCCGAACGGGTTTCTTTTTAACACGAAAATTCGCTCCATCCTGAAGAATTTTTTTCCAATAGGTAAGTTCCGCTTTAGACAGGTTTTGATGTGCTTCTGTATAGATAGATAAAATTACAAGTAATAAAAAAAAATTAAGATTTAAAAGTTTTTTGTGTGTATTTTTTTGGAAAGTAAATTTGCCTTTATTTCTCAAAAGTAATATATTGGATGAAATAATAATAAAATAAACCATCACTTTTTAAAATTTGTGTAATAATGTTAACTCTTCATTTTCAAAATTGATATTGGTTACTTAAAATAATTTTTACAAACATTTTAAAATGAAAAAATTAACACAACAGTGTCTAAATCACTGTTTAAAACAAAAACCCGACTAGCACGTGTCGACCGGCGAGAGAGAGAAAACATATGTAATTGTCCTAAGAAACATAACAACATGTCTAGACTATCAGTTCCTAGTCTCTTTGCAAAATTGCAGTTTTCTTCAATGTCTGATTAGAAATTGTTTTTTATACTCTATAAATATATATGGATTAAACTTTGGAGGTTCAATATTTTTTTAATTCAGGGGCAGTTTATACTTTTGAGTTTAAGTGGTTGCAGAAATAATTTACAAATTTGTAAAAATAAATAAGTTTCAAATTCGTAATTAAATAATAGTGTGTAGCAAGACAAAATTTTAATGAAGGAACCTAGCATTATGCCATTTATTTAAAAATTAAGTACAAAAATCGCATCTCGAAGAACGCTAACGAAAAATGCCACCGTTACCAAATCACGACGTGGGCCAATTATGTACCAAGATCGAGTCAGATGCGGCATTCGGCCTTCCGGTTGGACACCCCGCTTCGGACCACCGTTGCACTTACTTCAATTATATAATATTGTATAAATAAATTAAATTTTGCTTTAGCAGTCTATACAAAAGAAAAATGATCTAGATTAATAATAATGTATAAATATTATTGGGAGAATAATTTGGAAAGACAACATAATTTTGTAATTAGTATTGTGTTTGTATGTAATTTTCATTACTTCATTGTTTATATATGGCAAAACAAAGCAGTTCATAGAATAATTATATTTATTTTAATAATTATNGGTTAATAAATTCTTTTATTAGTTTTCACATATGCATTTCGAACCGGTATAACATTTCCGGTTCCTCTTCAGTGTTCTACAATTATAAAAATTAAATTGATATAATTTAAAAAACTAACAAAGTAATTTGCCAAGTAACATAACATAAACACATCACAAATACCTCTAAGGGTTTTACACATTTCCTTTTTCATACAGTTGGATCGTTACTTATTAAAACAACAGTACAAGGAGTAAAAAGTAATATGATGAAATTATCGCTATAAAAAGGATTAAAGAGACAAAAAATTCACAAACGAATAAATACAGCTATAACCAGAATATTCAACATTTAATTTTTTATTTCGAAAATGTAGGAAATGATTCTCATTTACAGAGACGAAGCATTAAACCTGATCATTTTTCTCCTGTTCTGTTTAATTCTTCATCTCTATAAGGTGAAGGTCATAATGCCATGTCTGATGGATTTACAGATCCAAAGATATAGCGCATTATTCCCGTTTGATATTTATCACGCAGAAAATTTTATATCTGCTTAGAAGCCTCTCTGGTAAACTAATACGAATTTTCATTTTGCCGTAAAATGACTTTAAATATATTATTTTACAACTAATTATTTGTCGAAAAATATTAATAAAAAATAAATTTTCGTAGAAAATATATCAAATAACAGAGTGAAATATGAAAGGAATGAAAATGTAAGCGACTAAATATTTATATTATATAAGATAATTGTATCAGATTTAGTTTCAGTGGCAGATGTTGTAGTGCACTGTAAAGAGATCCTTTGGCATTGTCGATGTGTTTTCTATCAGTCCTACAAATATATATGTATTAACAAAAGTTCTTTATAAAATATAATCGGTTCTTATATAAGAAGTTGAATTTTTTACTGATTTTTACAGAATTTTTGATTGGTTAAGAAACTCGAAAAGGGTCGAGGATGCCAAAAATTATATTTTACTGTTTGTTCTTATAATAATTTTTTAGGATGTCTTTTATAAAAGTATATTTTTAATATGTTTTAGATGTAGCTTTTTATCTTTATTAATTAAATATTACTTTATAATTTACATTTTTAAAGAATAGAATTTTAAAAGCGTAAATCTAGACTAAATAAATTAATTAAATATATACAGTAGACTATATATTTGTTTAAAGAAAGAGAGAGGGAAGGAGATAGATTATTATCTCTCTCCCCTTTTATTTAAACAGCTGTTCAATTACACTTTGAAACATATAAAGCAGAAATTATATTGTATTTCGTAATTTTTATTTGACATAAAATATGCCATTTTTTACTTTCCCTGCTGTTATATATAACAGGAAAAGTATGACGATCGGTCTAAAAATCTAAAATTTGTACTTTTTTTGGACTCGGAGGACCTTGAAACGTCGAAAAATGCAAACAAAATCGGTGGTTTTTTTCTGTATATGAATGTAAATGTGTATGAGGGACACATTTTTTTATCCACGCGTTGTAGCTGCATGGATCCCAGGAAATTTTGAATTAGGGGAAACATGTACAGCATTGACTTCAGACAATGTTCTTCGGAGGAATTTTTTCTTATAACAAATTGGTTTGAGGTGGAGCCCCAAGCAATTGTTCTTTTTACCCGTAGGATAACGCTCTACTGCACTTTGAAGCTTAATAATTCCTGTATCTTTTGTCGAAAATTTCTGAAATTTTGCAGAGAGGTTTTGGTATTAGGGACATCGATACTGTTAAATTTTATTGTCTAAAGGTCGACGGGGATCACTTGTCGTATCTTGAGTGGAATCCAAATTAAAAAAGATTTTACGCGTTATTAGCATTTATAATTTTTTAAAAATTATTATAAAATCATTATATGTAAAGAAAACACATTTAAAATAAATCGCTTTTAATACAGATATCCCTTGATTAATGCAGTTAATTAATTAAAACTTCTGCCTCATATATAAAGGGATTGCCGCAATTAATTTCGCGCGTTAAGCAAAGAATACCTATAATTTGTTTTATTTCTTCATTCATTTATCACAGCTTACATCTTGATATCGATTATATTTATTTATATATACATACATCAGTATGTATGTATACTGTATACCCTTGTTTCATACACTTATTTCAATCTTATTCCAGAAATTTGAGGATATAAAACCGGTTTCAAAACCGTTTTGAATTAAACTGAATTAATGTTTTATTATAATTTAGGGTGATTATATAAGTCTCGATCTTCTTTGTTATAATGGTAACAAAATCATTTGTATGCCGGTCATGTGAAACATGCTGATCCGGAGAAAAGAGAATCGCTATTGTTTGAGCATGTTTTAGTGGATCAATTTACACGGAAATACAGGCAAACTTTACCCAAAAATTCAGGAAGTCTGCTTCTATCAGTGACAATATCAGACTGTTAGATACCAAATAATGTATGTACACGATGCACAACGTTCTGGGAGACCCGCCTTACCGGACGAAACGGCTCAATGTATAGAAATTGCAATAATACAGAGTCTACGTCATCAACCAGAAGACTAAGTTGGGTGCTCACTGTGCCACAACCGCGCCTCCAAATGTGGGTGATTTCTCATTACAAACTGATAAAATGTGCCTAGAGTGTCAGGTGTTACAAGTAACACAGCGACGACTATTCCATTGCATGTAAATCGGGTTTTTCGGTTTTTGCTATAATTGCTATTTACCGAAAACCGATTTTGTTGCCGACGTTTTTTACGTAATGTGTTTTAGTGAAACTTTAAATTTTTAAATGATTGAAAATGTAATCTATTCAGTTTATTTAATTTTTCCCCTTCCAAAGATGTGTATAATTGGAATAAAATGATAATCGGAATTACTTCTCGGGATGTTTGCTCGTCATCTTCATAATTTTACTATCTATTCGCGATCTTGGAAACAAAATTTAGAGTTGTTTTTCTTTTATAATCTCGCAACTTCTCATTGGTATTCTTTTCTTCAAAAAGTTTAATTAGTCTCTTCTATATATATCTTGTGGCGATTGCTTTACTTTTACCATAAATTTTATTTATTTTAATATTGTTCACCGTATTAAAGATCCCATAAAATCTAGTGGAACCAGCTTGAAAACTAAAACTCAACGAAAAAATCTAAATAAAGGAAACTTGAATGTTGAAGCATGAAAATACTAGAACTAGATTTAGCAGTAAGACTCAACATATAAATAGAGTGTACGGTACAACAGTACACAGACTACAATTACAGGATGATACCATGCTACCATGATAATAAATAGGGAAAACGAGTATCGTCATAGAAAAAGGCTTGGAGCTGGGATATTATTTTATAAACGCTATATTTTTAAATAAAGCATTTAAAAGGGCAAACAGGAGGTGGTCAGCTTTGGAAAGAGCAATTAAACATGTGCAGACGTCCAGATTGTTCGGGAGCTCGTGTCGCTATAGGTTACTTTCTTGTTGTAAATCTTCGCGACAAAATGCCGATCGCGTAAGTCCAAAACGATCCAACGAATTTATTCAAACTTTAATACGTCCACAGTACTCATCGTGAACACTAAATACTTTAAATTTCATCCAAATCGGCTCATTTTTCGTGGAGATATTAAGAGTCAAAGTTGGCACTTCAAAATTACACGCGTTGTTCTATACACAAAAACAATGCCAATATATCCTAAAAAAAATACGTGTATAAGAAATTTAAAGATTTGAGTACATTATTCTTTTCCTTTATAGCCTACATGACGAATACAAAATTTTCAAAAATATTTATAAATAAGAAACCGGTACCGGTAATATAAATTAATACATTTGATATAAATTTAATTATATTGTGTGATTTAATAATTATTATGACACTCTTTTATCTAATAAAAACATCAGATACAGAGCAACGTCTGTTTACATATTTGAAAGTTAAATGAACAGCTACAATGATACCAAAGTTTGCCAGGAGTTGTATGAATGTGTACTGTATACGCACGCGTATGTGCGTGCGTGTGTATTTGCACGTGAGCGATTGATTGTGTATGTTTGAATGTAAATATTGTATAAAGTGATATACTTGAATGTATAATTTGGAACTAATAGTAATGAAATCTAAAAGTTCTTTATTAAAATATTATTATAGTATCCTGTAGATGTTATGAAATAAAATTTAATAGAAGTATTAACGAATTGTTATTGATTATTTACCGAGAAAAATATAATTCATTATTTTGATAATGAAACAGAATAAAAAAATCATTTAAGTTAAAAGATGATTAAAAATTACATTGTGACTATGTCACAATAAATAATTGTTTGTTACAAATTTAAAATAATAGGAAAAAAAATAAATTTAAATTCACAAAAATTAAAGAAATTTGTTAAAACAGTTGCAAAAATTCCAGTTTATTTTACCATTCAGTATTTCTTATAGAACAGAAATATTTTAAGTTTTACTTTCCCTGCTCTGTTATTTAAAACAGAGGGAAAGTATGGCGATCGGTCAAAAAATTACCTCCCCGAAGATTTTTATATTTGTGGAGTCNTACAAGTATAAAAAAAAATTAAGATTAAAGCATTTGAGAAGTATATTTTTTTTTTATAAAAAAGGAGTTTATTTTAAAATTTAGTTACTCATATCGTGTGAATTTTAAAAGAAATATGTTTCAGCTATTTTTTGTTTATGTCTAGGTACCAGGGAGCTATTAAAAATGAAAGACATATGAACACGTTAGTCACGGATCAATAATGTGCAATATGTGTTTGCTATAGCCTATGGATGTACAGTACAGTATTTGCTCTTATTTCGAGGAATATTTGTATAATAAATATCGAATTAAAATATATATTTTAAAATTTTATAATTTCGCATACAAAATATTTTAATAAATCTCTATAATGCTCCAAAAATTTGGAGTAAATTGGTTTATTTTAGCGTTAAGTCTGCAAGTATGTTGAAATTATGCGAGATATCTTCTAAAGTAAGTAATTTAAATATTTAATTGACATTTATCTTTATACTAATTTTCGTAAGTTTCTATATTTTTATGAATTATATGCCGTATAAAAATTTTATAGATATATTTCAGGCTCCATTAAAACGATTCCAAGAAGTAGTCAAGTTTGTAATATGGAACAGAGATATTCTCCACCAATTTCAAGAAAATACGATGCAAAAATCTATAGAAACGACAGATGAATATTTAATAAAACACCATAATTTAAATAATTATCAAGTGAAAGAGACTCGCCAGATAATTTCTGAAGAAGTTATTCAATTAACAACAAAACCTAGTTTTCTCAGAACGGGAGAAGATATTTCGAAAATTCTTAATGCAATAAAAGATTTGCCATTCTTTATGAGATTAGATCACGGACTACTTCAAAAAATTTCCAGAATTATTTATTACCAGTCTCTCGGAAAAGGAAGGATTATCATCAGAAGAGGATACAATCCAATTTACATGTATTATATAATTAATGGAAAAGTTTCTGTTTCGTATTCGGAACATAATCTAACTACAAGTAAGTTGTGAAAAATCATTTTTATTATTTCAAAATTTTCGTTTAAATTGATATTTTAATCAACTGTTTAAATTTATAAATATTTTGTAGAGAAGCAATGTTGGATTTATAATACATAAACAAACATATTTAAAGAGATTTATTTCAAGAATTTCATTGATATTTCGCTTACTGGGCTACAATTTTCAAATTGCAGACACTATCGTCCGTCCGTCTATCCTTCGTTAATCTCGATAGATGAAAATCGAGACCAGATGTGGAAAGCTTAGGCCGGAGTCCCGATTAGCTATACATATATATAGGGGAGATCGGGGCAAGATCGGCATGTTAAGCTTTACTTAAATTTTGTGTAATAAATACTGCTGTAAACTGAAAAAAACCTTTTGCATATTGTCTATTGGAATGTTACCTTACTATACATCTGGTTAAAATCAGTTTGGACATAAAAATAATTAAAATAATTACAACTTTACAAGAAGAGAGAAATTGACGAAGTTGCCCCGGGTATAGGGGCAAGATCGGCAACTTCTCTCTTTTTGTAAAGTTGTAATTATTTTAATTATTTTTATTAAAGTTGCCCCTGGTATAGGGGCAACAGTAATGGGGCAAGATAGGCACGTATATAAAATTATGTTATTAACAATGTATAAGTTGG